TACGATCTCGCGTTTTAAAACGCTCGATTGTGATTGGCCGATTTGCTTACGGCCTTACGATTACGACTAAAATTTTTGTACGTGTGATGGCCTTTAGGGTACCGTCACATAGCCCGTAATCCACACCGGATGTCTGCAAAAGTTACTAGGTATTGCGTCAGTAACGTTACGTGTGTTTTACCTCCTTGTGTCTCATGGAGTCGTAATCCTATGAAATTTCCATAAAAATTACTAGTTATTACCAGTAATGCTTTTCCTAATTTTATCTATTTGACTAAATTCGACGATTTAATTAAAACTTTTTTACATTTACACGTCCACATTTTGCGGCTCCATGGGACACAAGGAGCATGTAAGCACGCAACGCAATTGCACTCCGACGTCAAACAAAAATAAACGTGCCATAACCTATCTTTAATTTATAAATAGTGATTAATTTGTTTGACAACAATTTTGAAATTAGAAGTGCATAATGAATCTTTGATATATGTTATTAATGCAAATACAACAAATGGTCTGTTTTCTGACGTGCACTAGACTGCACTAGAACTCTCTTTTCACGTAGTTGCGGATTACGTGAGAAATATCTGTCGTGCATACGCAATCCCTAGATACTTTTACGGACATCCGGTGCGGTTAGCCAATAATTCTATTGCTGAATTCACACTGCATCCGATTTTCGTCGTATAACGCTCTGCAACCAATCAGAAAACAGGATTCCGATGAATTTTGCTTCGTATTATCGGAATCCTGTTTTCTGATTGGATGCAGAGCATCGTACGATGAAAATCGGATGCAGTGTGAATCCAGCATATGTGACTGCACCTTTAGATCCAGGGAAGAACTAAAGGCAAGAACCAATCGTATTAAAGAATCACTAAGCGCTAATCGGCTAAAACTGATTAGGGCCAGTTTCACCAACGTCAGTTAATTTAATCGGCCTTTGACTGACCAATCGTGTTTGCTGTTCAGTAGAATTGACCAATTACGGTTGACAATTAATCATCGATTAAGCTTAATCGGCTTGGTGAAACTGACCCTTAGTTTTCTCTACTGAACGCAACCATTGGCTGCGTTTAGCAGAAAAAGTAGCTTTACAACTGTTGTAAAACTTTTTGATGAGTTCTATCCTTCGTAATCGACTTGTTCGGTTTTCTAGATTCGGTTTCTAGAGTCATCTACAGATGGCGCTAAAATCGGAGGCGTGAAAATTATTTCATATTTAAATCCCTTAGTTTAAATCCCCTAGTTTAAAGTTTAAATCCCTTGATAAAACGTACGAGATCTGTGTTTGACAACTTGGTGCGTTATGTTTCGGATAAAGGATTTCGTATATCGGTAATCGCTGTCACGTATAGCCGTGCACGATTGCAACAAAGATCTGCAAAATTTCTGTTTCTTTTTACTAATGAGGAGAACACAATGTTGAAGTACATTTTTCCTGTTGCGATAATCGTTATCGCCTGCTTGTCACAGCGATCTGAGGTTAGGATGCTTTTTCACGGTTGAATTAAATCCAATTCACTGTCATATCTTTAACGACTGCGAATGATTCTAGGCGCAATATGACGACAAAAGATGTAAGTGCATCTGTCCGAGCCTTTCTTCCGTCATAAATACGACGCAGTCGACCGAGCGTCTCACATATATTATAAATGTACCACCATTACAATGGTAATTATTGGTGTTTTCCAACAAGAGATTAAATCATCTCATCTACAATATTCTTTATTTTCTATTTCTTGTTTTTTACCTCATGCCTTTTTTTCTTTGCGACCGTTTTATTGATAATAGCGTTTCTTTTCACATATTTCTTGTCTTTTCGAAGTTTGTTGACTTTTATCTTGGGCAACAGAAAACAAAAACTGAATAAAAGACAAAAAGGCAATGAAGTAAAAACAAGAAACAGGGAACAACGAGCACAATATAGATAATCAACAATGTAGCTTTTACATTGTAGATTAAGCTTAATGGTACTTTCTAGCAAGAGACAGTAATCATTTTATTTTTGTTTAACAGTGGCAAACAACAAGAATGAAATAATACTCTGTGTTACATTGTGGGTTCTTTCTTTTTGGTGGCACAAGTCGACACAAGTGTCATTCTACCATTGTTATTTACTGAATGTCAAGAAAGATAGAATATTTGTGTCGATTTGTGTCTAAATGAAAAACATCCTACGTTCCTTGCTGGAAAACAAATCCAGTGTTTTGTATAAATTAATAAGGACCCTATATTATCCATGCAATTGCCAATATGGGGAACTTTTCAGCTAGGAGTCACAATTAAACAGTGTCAAAAAAGGAGCACTGTATAAAGTCATTTAAACAGAGAGCTGCCAAAGTTTTACAGCACTGAAATGTTTTGTTTTCTAATTAATTGATAGCTATATTTGATACAAATTTCAACTCAGCTTTTTGGCTGTATTTATTTGTGTTGTATCATTATTGAAAAGCAATGTATTGAACTTTGTATCACTTTGTATCACTTATATCCTTTGCTGGAAAGCTTCCACAATTTACTTCATAATTTTCATCAATATAATATAATCATAATACATATCTAATTTGTAGCAAGTGCGAAAGTGTTGTTCTGCCAAAACTTGGTGACCAAATAAAAGGCAAGGAGGAGGTATTTTGCTCGCGATGCGACTGCAAATATGAAAATAGGAACACGACTATTATTAAGGTATTTATTTCTTCATTGGCGAACTCTCTTCATATCACTGTTTTATAGATCATTCAATGTGACAAGGATTTTATGTTGCAGATCGTGGTGATAATAGTTATATGGGTTATCTCATTGTTAGTAATTTATATGTTATTCCTAATTTGTTTGGATCCTCTGCTTAACAAGCGGATACACAAAGCATCAGCAAATATTGGTTATCATGAGCATAATAATGAAGAAGTAAATATATCAATTTTATTTTTCTCTTTAACCGGTTAAGTGGTAGGCTTTTTAAAACATTCCGTGCCAAAAGTGGTAGGCGTCAATTGTGAACTAAAATATACCAAAATTTGGCCCTGGGGATTTTTTGGGTCGCTGATTTCATTTCGTATATAAACTGCGGGGGTAAAACGTAATTGCAATATATATACAAAAATCGCCATTTTCATTCAACGTATTAGTCGCCATGTTGTGTTCGCCATCAAATTTTACAAATTTGACGCCAAAATCGAGTTCAGAAGCCCAAAAAACAATAGTATACCAAATTTCAAGCAAATTCGTTGAATAATATAGAAGTTATTCAAGATGTGCATATATGCTACAATACCACTTTTGGCACGGATTCTTTTTGTGCATATATGCTACAATACCACTTAACCGGTTAATAATAAGTTCGACCATTTGCACTACATTAGATTAGCACATTGAAAAATTAGCACATTGAAAAAGTTACTTTATAAAGTATCTAAATGCAGTGGCATAATATAATCAACTGTGATAATGAAATAATACATGTATATTCTGTTAAATAACGTGACATATATCATTATTGGATATCTCATCGTTTAAAATATTTATATGCTTTTACATTTAACTTTGCTAATTTCATATTATAGCAGCTCTTAGTATACTAATCTATAATGCAAGTGACCGAATTTGCTGCGTTCGAGTATGTAAAATAAATGTAACATTTAACAACTGAACATCGATCATACATAATTGTCTATATGATACATGTTTTCTTCTTTTATTTTACAAAGGATGATTCATCTCTCGCACCTGGAACGTCTCATCCAATGGGAGAAAGGGGCAATGTTTTGAATCGTGTTGGACACCAGCAGGACAAGTGGAAGCGACAAGTTCGGGAACAAAGGCGGAATATTTACGATCGTCATACTATGCTGAATTAAGTTGAACAGTTTGTCTCCTAAGTATGTAAAATATCCAAACAGACAGAATACTTCTAAATGTGACGACAATTTATTCGATCCTTTCGAAGTAAACTTCCCGCGAATAGTTTGTAAAAATATAATATATTACAGTAATAAAGTAAACATTAAGCGTTAGCGATTATTTTTGACGATCATTTATTTTCGTAAAATTCTATCCAGTAGACTGTCACAATTGATATAAATGAAAAAAATATATATATATATTCAGAGATTTTATAATTTTAAGTAATTGTGAATATTTCTGATTTTAATATTTATTGTTATTCTATATGTGCAAAAAAACTTAATATAAATTACATCACTATAAAACTAATTTTTTCACGAAGGGATTCCGATAATTTTTGCGCCACGATAGCTTTCAAGAGTTTTTTTAGTTATGAAAGCAAAAAAACAAATCGTCTTTACATTTTTGATAGAATCTTTTTAATAATATTATTTATTATTGTACTTAGATGAAAATCTTTAGATAATTATGTATAAAATTCGAACGCTCCTTAATATATATCGTATATCTTTTATAAGACGAGCTTTTGTATGCTGCATACAAAATGCTGCATACTTACTAAATTTCTAAGGTTTTTGATCTTTTGAGATTGCTTTCTCAAGTGAATCTTTAATTGTATCATATAACGTTAAGACGAGAGCACCACCGGTGCCACGAAGAATGTTGGAGAATGCACCTTTGAAGAAAGCTCCGGTACCTTCGTTTTTTGTTATTTTTATCCAACAATCGAGTGTATTTTTATACATTATGTCAGCCTTACTTCGTCCCGATTGCATCATCATTCGTCTTCTAACTGTATCGAAAGGATAGGACACAATGCCCGCCAATGTTGTTACTATCTACAAAGGGTGACACTCACATAATAAAAAATTATTGCGGAAGGAAGATCTCTTTTTACCTCGGCGATTATAAAATTCATGTACAATGGTGTGCTCTTCGGGTCGGATAGCATACCCCTCATAGTATCATAAAATCCGAAGTACGTTGCACGATATATAATGATTCCTTGCACGCTGACGTTGAAGCCACGATAAAGTCCGAAAAATCCGTCCGATTTAAAAATCTTCATTATACAGTCGTTTATACCTTTAAATTCTCGTTTCTCACCTTTTCCGACATCAGCAGCTAATCTAAAAAATTACACTGTCTTATGTAAATAATATAGACTGTCTTAAAATTTAGCTATGCTACAATATTGTTAATTTTTTTTAGCAAATTGTTACATTGCATTACATTAGATTAGTGCATATTAAAAACTATACATGAAATAGCAAAGTCAAATGTAAAAGCATGTATTTTAAACAATTAAATATCCAATAATGGTATTCACATTATTTAATATAACATATTATTTAATAGAATATACAATTACTTTATTATCAAAATTTATATGATGCCACTACATTTAGAATATTTAGATACTTTATATAAAACAGCCTTTAATGTACACTATCTATAATGTAGTGCAAGTAACCGAATTTATCATTATTCTTTTTATTTATAGGACATCTTGAAAATTTCTATAAAAATATGAATCACATAATTTTTTAAGCTTTGTAATATCCTATGTGCATATAAAATGTACCTGGTGCGAGCAAGGTCAAGCGGATACACAAATAAAAGCGACGTCGCACCGGCAGCACCGCCAGCAGCTAGATTTCCAACAAACTGTCGCCAGAAAGCATCTGGCGGCACTCCTCCCAGAAAGAAGGCCTTAAATTTATCTTTAAATGCAAAATTAAGCGCTTGAGTCGGAAAATATCGTATAACGTTAGCAAGATTGCCTCTGTAGAAACTAAGGAATCCTGTTTCCTGAGGTATACGTACAAACGCGTCTATCATACCTGATGAAAGTTCAATGAACGTAAGAATGAAAAATTAACGAACGGAAAATGTAGATCATTTCTTACGCGATCCATCAAAACGGTGTAATCATTTTAATGTACCCTTGTATCGTTGTTCAGGTCTAATCTGCTTCGAAGTATGCTGTACTTGCAGCAACAACTTCACTCTTTCTAGAGGAGCAACCGCTGTCTTTGCAATCGTTGCGGATAAACCGCCTGCTATGAAATCTATCAGAAAAGATTTGTACAAATCCATTTCTCTCGGAAGCCGCCAAAAATCGACAGATTCTGAGACATTAACAGTCCATCATGCGGACCGTAATAAAATCACACGACATTTGCATACTTTTAATCGTATGTACTTATGCGTTAATATCAAAATATCGCATATCTTTGCATTATCTGTCAAGGAAATGAAACGTAATGTCAGAACTACTATGCTGCTTGAGTCACTTGTTTCGTCAGCTGCTAGAAATACTGCTTAAAACAATTGAAAATTTTTCAAAAATCCCCTAATGTCCATTTCTATGAATGAAGATTAACTTTAATCTCGGTTTAATTTATTATTTATCTTTTACTAATTCTTAAAATCAGAAAAAAATTAAAAAGTAAGTTAAAGCGAGATTAAAGTTAATTTATATTGGTCTTATGCCCGTTTCTATCAATGCAGATTAACTTTAAATTCGGTTCAATTTGCTCTTCGTCTTTTTCTAATTCTTAGAACTGAAAGAAACGAAGAGTTGGTTAAATCGAGATTAAACTTGAACTATATTGGTAAAAACGGACATAATGGACATTAAACACTTAAAATAATTAAAAATTATGATTGTAATATTGTAGAACGAATAAAATGAGCAAGAGACACACAAATTATGTTCGTGATATTTACTTGTGTCATTGTTTTACACAAAAAATCGAACATATATTTGTTCAAAGCTTTATGTCGGTCAGTAAATGTATGTAGTCAGAAGCTTTTATTCAAAAGTTACAACTTTATGACTTTTTATAAATGACTGGATCATAGTAATTTATGACTTATATATATAAACATGGGATAAAATATATTACTGTTTCTTTTCTTTCATCTTGTATCATATACAGAAAATAGAATGCTCACGCCAAATGTTACATATTTAAATTTATCTCAAGGACTAGAAGAAAGATCTCTTTATGTGAACGATATTAAATACATTACTTTCATCTCTAAACAGATGCTTAATTATATTTGTAAGATACACATGTAATAGAATATCTGAAGAAACGGCATTCGGCACATATTGGCATAGAATTATAGACAAACAGGGAGACCATCGTCGGCCTTCAAGAGATTCGACAGAGAGAACGCACACACTTTTTTTTATTTGAGAAAATACGTTGAGTTAGGAAAATATATACTAATAACTAAGTAGTTAATAAAATCTTAATTAAAAAGTGATTGGTATAAAAATAATATTAGTAATATAAACGATAGTAATGCTATGCCACACTTTCACTGTTTAGTAAAATTGAAATGAACAAATAACGAAGTTTCTTGTGCGGGGTACTGTATTCTTGAAATCAGAGCTGGGCATGTATTTAAAATACTTTCATTTGAAAAACCGTATTTGTAAGACAATTGTATGTTGTATTTTGCACTTTAGTGGAGCACATGAAACTACAGAATATGTAATACCTTCATATGCTCCGCTGAAATACAAAATACAGTTGTGTTGCAAATAGTGTATTTTAAATAAAAGTATTTCAAATATACATTTTATGGCCCAGCCCTGCTTAAAATTTTGTAATAAAAATAAGATCTTTTATACGCTAACTGGTTAACTAACTTTCGAAACCGAAAATAATGCGTCAATTTGGGATAATAAACAGAAATAACCTACACAGATGCTATAAAATGACAGTGAAAGTGTTGAATTTTCATAATACAGAAATTCCAATACTCAATTAAACTTGGCCTACATTATAAGGCAAGATATTTAAAGCAAGTGTATATATAACAAAAGGATCCATTGAATACTTTTTTATAAATGTACATTGAAAAATTTGATCAAGGAAATTATTCAATTTTCCTTCATATCGCATATTTACGCAGCGTGTACCGACTGAAAAAGAAAATTTATGAATAATAATTTTATCTTAGATTTTTATAAGCAAACAATCACAAATTTTATGCGTACCTTCGCAATATCCACGCCCGTCAAATTTTTAACAAGATCTGGAACACGCTGTACAATATTAAAAACTTCCTCGGTTAATTTTTCGGCACCAATAGTGCCATTACCACTTGAAACCATAGTTATCTTTTTTGCTTGAGAAAGAGGAGCGGCTACTTCAGCGGCAACCTATAAAGTGAGTTGAAATTAGAATATTTACTATTATTAGAGCGCTTTTAAATATTGCAAAGATTTATATACCTTTGGAAGTGTATCAAGCATCATGTCTATCATGGCTGCGCTCTTGTACTCGTTCCATGCCGCAGCTTTCTTTGCCATTTGTTCTGCCTCTGCCTTAGCTTTTGCTTCAATAGCGAAGGCTTCCGCTTCACCGCGAATCTTAATAGCTTCAGCTTCGGCTTCAGCCTCCATAACAAGACGCAATTTATTTGCTTCGGCCATTTTCTCTAATCTATAAATCAAATCTTAATCGATGTGCGCAACGAAAGCTTTATTTTTAAGCATTATCGAATACCTGTATTTTTCTGCGTCAGCAGGACGTCGTACAGTGGCATCTAATTCTCTTTCGCGTCTCAACATTTCCTGCTCTTGCACGGCAATCTCCTGACTACGTTCTACAACTTTTACTTGCATTTGCTCTTCCATAATCCTTTGTTTAGTTTTTGCTGCTTGCAGTTCAAATGCCATTTCTGCATCAGCTTTCTGCAAGTGACATTTTTATAAAAAACTATACATGAAACATTTCATACAAAAAGCATTAAAAATCTCCTCACTTTGGTTTGGACTTCAACATCATAAGCAGCCTTTTTCAATTCAAAATCACGTTGCGCTTTTGCAATCTCTGTGTCATTAAGGAAACGTGCAGCCATTCTTTGTTCCTCGGCAATAGCTTCCCTAATTTGAGCGTCTCTGCGAGCTTCTGCTTCACCTATTCTAGCATCTCTCTTCACTTCTGCTGTACGTGCCATACCGAGTGCTTGTAAATAACCCTATAAATAATATATTCTCATAAAATTATTGCACAATGTGATAAAATTTACAATAATACAATGACTAATAAATGATTTCAGCATTTTGAGTAAGCAATAGCTGAGCGACATAAAAGCAACATATATAAGTATATATCGTTGCTCCAATTCAATTATTGAGATTTTTTAAATAGAAAAATTTGAGGATACACATGGGAATAAAATAATATTTTATATAATTAGTTAACATAATGTTAAGATGTTTGTAAAAATTATATTTTTATTTTTATTTTTCTAAAATTATATATTTTTATTTAAAAAAAATAAGATAAATTTCAACAATATCTTCATATTTTACTATTTAAAGATACCTCAGTAATGAATCAGCAACAAGTGCACAAGTGTTGTAATATAAAGCAATGAAAATTTTTGTCTTTTTATGATCTGAAGAATTTACAATAATAATAATTGTTAGAAGACATAGCGGTGTGCGCTGTGATATCAGTTGCAAAGCTAATATTTCATTTGTCGTATGATAATTTGTCAAGTAAATCTACAAAATAGAGAAGTCTCGTTTCCCAAAATTTTCTATCTTGTAATCAATATACCTGAAAAATTTGTCGTACAACAAATGAAATATTAGTTTAATAGTGATAAAATAAAATTTGAACGTACCTTTGCCCCCTGCAAGTAGCAGAACAAAAAAGTATTCAATATTTACAATATACAAGATCTAATTATATTAATTACTTAAAAAGTTCATACTCACGTATCAATTAATGATAAACATTATTGAATTGTTTAAAGGGGGTCTTTTAAATATCACTGTATATATATTTATGTACACTATGTACACTATGTACACTTCAATAATTTAATTATGACTTGTACATGTTATCAGCATTATTTTTCTGAATTAAAGATTGTGGATGCTTACGTGTTTGACTCATACATTTTTGTGTGTTTATAAACCAGCAATCTGTTTTTGAACTATTTTATATTAGAAATGTGGCAAACTTACTTCTTCGTCTCGGATATCTTTCAATGTGTACGATACGACAGTAATGCCCATATTGACTAGATCACTGCTCGCTACTTCAAAGACTTCCTTGCTAAATTTTTTACGATCTTTGTAAATTTCCTGCAACAAAGAATAAGCCTACTGTGTATAATCTTTAATAGACAACAATTTAAGGTTATTTATGTTTTCGTTTAACTTACCTCTACAGTCATACTACCCATTATAGCTCGTTGATGTCCTTCTAAAGTAACGAGAGCTATATTATGTATCTCATCTTCAGATTTTCCAAGAAACTGCTCACACGCCGTAGATAGCATCTCTTCATTTTGTCCCTGAATTTTTACCTGATGCAAATACAACATTTTGCAATCTATGAATGCTAAGTTTTTTAAAGTTCTTTATAACACATTTGCAAAGCTTTCTTTTTTTTTAAATTATATATTATACATATGTATATACATCAATAAAATTTCCAGAATAATTTTATTAACTTTATAACTTACATCTTGATATGTTATTATATTATGAATCATTTTAGATCTAATTTCGCGGACCATATATATCAATTTTATCATATAAAAAATCATATAGAGTACATGTAAATAGATGTAATATCTTGTAGACATATCATATATAAAACCACTTTTTCTTTAATTACCTGTGCAATGCCTGTTACAGATATTGGAACTCCTTGACAGGTGTATACTGTTGGACTCTCGACTTGTAAGGTCATCGTATTTAAAGAAATCCTGTAAAAGCAAGATATGTTTAAGGCTTATTATATGCTATCTATATATTGAAAACTTATATGACACTTACTTTTGTACTTGTTGCACGAGAGGCCAAACAAACACTCGGCCTCCAGGTACCAAGAGAGGTTTGCTGTAGCAACATCCTGGAAGAAGCAGTTAATGTAAAATAATAGAAATAAAAAATTGACAATATGGAGAACTACAAGGAAAATAATGATTCAGCCGATATTAAATTATTAATATAAATAAAAGAATCGAGCTGCATATAATTCTATGTGTATACAATCGAGCAATATTCGATCATTCGCATATAGCAGACGATAATCTAATACGTTTCTAATGCGATTAAAGCATAGTATAGGTGCGGTTGTTCCGAATCGATCCCGCGTTTCCCCACCGCCGTCTCGTAACGCGGATCAATTATCTAGGAGACTCAAGCGCTTCTTCCATTTTTTCTCTTTTCTACGAAAGCAATTAATTCGGGGAAAAATACAAATGAAATACGCGAGAGATTGAGATATCCGTGCAGCGTTCGGAGGAGACTCTTAGCTTCATTACCTGAGACGACGAGAGCCTCGTTCGGGCCGCAAGTGACGAATCCACAACTCATAATTACACGTCAACGTAACTACAGCCACTATGCGTAAAGACCGTAAGGTTCACGCAGTCGAGTGACTGACGTCGACGTGCCTCTCGCACTTAACAATATAGCGCGTATGTATAATGTCAATATATGTATATATACGCGATAGCGCAAAATCCTCCCCTCTTTCTTGCAGCCAGCGTTTTCCTCCTTCCCCTAATGTTGCTGAAGTTGCTTCGGTTGGTCCAGAATGCAGCGCGCATGAGCAAAATAGAGGCATATGAATAAAGTCGGAAATTTTTTAAGCAGCTTCACGGTGGAAACTGCTTAAAAAATTTCCCACTTTATTCATGTGTATAAAATATATTATATATATTATATATATATATGTTTAATATAAATATATACATATACATATACATATACATATACATTTATATACATATTAGGTAAATGTTAAGAAGACCCCGTCAGTCTCAAATTTCGATAAAAATAGACTCAATCGATGCGTTTTTGTATGAAACGAACGAATCTGGCAGAAATAAGCGTCGCTCTGCCCCGCGAATCGAGATATTTAAGCCCAAGACACAATACGAGGGAATAGCGATAGCGATAGGAATAACATGATTTCAACCTATCAGAAATCGGATATATCGGAATACGCAGTTTCTGATAGGTTGAAATCGTGTTATTCCTATCGCTATCGCTATTCCCTCGCATTGTGTCTCGGGCTTTAGCGTTAAAGTTCACGACCGTTCAGGTTAGGAAATCTGTCATACCGACTCGATATAAACGCTATAAGTATGCCTTTTTCATGCTCTGTGATTTAATGCGCATGCGTTTAGCGATTCAAAATGAATTAGTTACTTGTGCAATGTTTCTATTATACATAGTTGTATTCTAAATAAATTATAACTAATGCCCGTGTAACACACTACGCATTGGAGACTGAGGATTGAGAATTGAGGATTAGAATTCAGCCAATAGAACGAAATGGATTAAACTTAAAATTACTTGATTGATCGAATTCTAATCCTTAATTCGCAATCCTCAATCTCCAATGCGTAGTGTGACACGGGCATAACCCATGTGGACAGTGGAGTGTGTAAACAGTAATGCTTGGGTTTAGGGCGGCAAAGTCGCCCCGAACAAAAAAAAATAACGTCCTACCCGCGTGGAACCTAACCGCATAGAAGTTACAGCCTAGACAAAGTTCGCTTGGAATATTCCTAACCCATGAATTGGAGATGTGAGGATAGTGCTTTTAAAAAGACTGTTCTCACATCCCACCGTCTTCACTGGATTAGGAATATTCCAAGTGGACTTTGTCTAGACTGTAACTTCTACGCGGTTAGGTTCCACGCGGGTAGGATATGTTATTTTTGTTTTGTTCGGGGCGGCTTTGCCGCCCCGAACCCAAGCATTACTGTCTACACACTCCACTGTCCACATGGGTTATGATTTATTTGGAATACAACTATGAATAATAGAAACATTGCACAAGTAACTAATTCATTTTGGCTGCGTTTCGTTATTCACTGTCAGTACTGACAATATGACGTCATAAAGTAGTACTGCAGAAGCGTTTTGAAATTACTAATAGTACTTTTATGACGTTACAACGTTGCATAACGAAACGGATTTAGTAGTACTTGATAGGACTGTGTAGAAATAATTTTTTAAATTTTGATAAAATTTGGAATTATTAATTATATTCATATCTTTGCGTGCTTTTTCTGCATCTACTTTATTCATTAATATGTCATAACTTTTTGACATTATTCGTTTCGACATCTAAAAAACAAATTTTTTCCTGATTTCCCATTTCGTTGAATTTCGCCATCTTTTTACTGCGATTTCCTGACCTCGCCAGCCGCAGTAATAGAAGTAGGAAGTGACGCAAAAATTTATGACGTCATATAGATGGAAAAGTATATTGGAAGTGTACTGCGACATATATTGGAACGGTAATGTTGCCAGTACTGACAGTGAATAACGAAACGCAGCCTTTGAATCGCTAAACGCATGCGCATTAAGTCACAGCATGAAAAAGGTATGAGTCGGTATGACAGATTTCTTAAGGCCGAAATCAGACTACGCATTGAAGATTAAGGTTGAAGATTGAAGATTGAAATTTGACCAATAAGGACAAAGAAATTTTAGCTCCTGTCATGTCTGTGGCATTGTCAAATTTTGTCCAAACCACCCTAAGACGAACCACGAACTTTTCGCTTTCTGTAGATTGACGTAGTACGCGAGACCGCCAGGGCCGTACCTGACGCTTTCCCCACCACGCGTGCCTCAGCGGAGCAACGATGGAAGGGGACTCCCTTAAAATTTGCCCTTAGGGCACTAGAATAAAGTCAGTAACAGTCTAAGGGCCGATTGTTCCATCCTTTGGTAAAGTTTACCTGTTAAGTAAATCTGGCAATCCCCGCACGTGATTGGATAATCGTAGTACTTATCTAACAGGTTAACTTTACCAAGAAGTTGGAACAATCGGTCCTTAGAGTCGCGAGTCCGGGTCTAGAGTACCTCCGAGGACATGTAAGCCATTGACCAACCATCTTAAGCTCTCACGTCGAATTGTCGCGTGCACGTTTCAAATTCTTCACTCAAGTCCTAGAGTAATTCTAATTCTAATTTTTAAGCGTAATTCAATTCCCGCGTTAATGTAAATCATCCTTAATATTAAGCCAAAATGTGTATTTTTTGATTGTGTACGAAGCTACAAATAATAAATTCATGTGGTTTACTAAATCCGAGTAAAATGTCTGAATAAAACCTGTTCTCCATAATCCGTCGCGTTGAATTATGCGAACACTTTAACTGACGAAACTCGGTCGCGTGCTAATAAACCGCAATCCAATCACCACGGACTCGGGAGAACCAATGGCAGAGCTGAGACAGGGAAATTGGAAGCCGCCTGCACCCATCCTCTCACGACTCGTCATCGCCACCCAGAACTTCATCAAAAAGGTAAGAAATTATTAATTAATCTATTTCGGTCACACACACGACGAGCCGCAAATCCGATTCCGCGCAGCATGTGCCCAGTACACCCGCGCCCGCACTTGGCTATTTCTCGTCGCCAGTTGAGAATAGACCCTTACGTGGGTACGGAGCGCCTGTTGCGCATCATCAATGGCTGCG